AGACTCAGCACGCCGTGTCAACAGACACCGTCGCAAGTATTCATAACTTAGAGGGAAACGTTGGAAAAGTATGTATGTGTAGTGTACATGGCATGAAGAATTGGAAATGCTTCTGTCTGAGCTGACTTTAGGGGTAGGTGAGGTCTAAACTGCACGTGACCAATACAGTAGATTCTATAAATAAGCAGAAGTCATCATTGCAGACAGACAGGCCAGAGTGTGCTGTGCAATGGATGTGTGAGACCCCTGGCTGTGTCCTGTGCGGTTTCACCAGGAAGAGCTGAAAGAGGAAGGCTCCTGCTTCTACTTCCGCCTTTTCATTAAGTGGGGGAGTTGCAATGAAGCGGAGCCCGCATTTTAAAGTTTTGTATTTACATACTGTTGTTCACAAAGCCTTGGTTTGCGTTGATGCTGGGTTTGTTGGGTCCATTGGACACTTGTTTTATTCCAAAGCTGAGCAACAGCGAAACCGAGCCTGTTACAGAAGGACCAACAGCCTGGCTGGGCTTCATTCCTTTCCACTCCCCAGACCTGCAGGAATCTGGGTAAAACCCATGACGACTGGGAATATGGTGGGTGGGCTTCCCTAGCAACAGGAAGGGGCATCTGTAACCTCTAAAGTCCCCTCCCAGCCCTGGCCTTTTTCAGGTAGTGGCTGCCCAGAATCAAGCAAGGAGAGGAGGCAAAAGAGAGCCCTCACATGAAGAACAAGGAAGGAAATCAAAGAACAAGATGAAGCACGGCACATCAACTAGAAGGTAGTGAGAAATGCCTCTGAAATGGATAGCCTTGCAGTTAGGCCCCGCCCCCATCAGCCCTCTGCCCCACCCTAATCTGCGCTCCTGCCAAGCACTTGTGAGTCCCCCTTTTGACTCCTTCCTTTCCTGTCTTTCCTAAGCTTGTCTCATTTTTCCCCATTTCAAAATCTGGAAACAACCATCAGGGCCCCACTCCACAGCTCGGGTTCTATCCAGGTTGGACTGCAACCGTGCTCGCTGTCAGGCCTGTGACTCCAAGCCCACGCTGTGCTAGGCCACAGGAACATTAGCCAATAACAGAGGAGCTGCAGATTTTAGAGCTCACTCTCTGTTACGTGACTTATGTACTAACTCCCTTTTGGTGAAATAAGCCTTTTTCCCCTCTATTCTTCAAAGGCAGGATGCTTTAGGCTCGGGGTCAGCTGGTCATGAACCATATGGGGGCTCTGTATTATTTATTCCGTTCCAAAATATCTCCCTTTTCATCTCCATGACATGGCATCTCCATGACACGGCATCCTACTCTTTCACCAAGCACTGGCCCTCTCTACCATTCCATGTCTTTTAAAGGCTTCCTCTTGGCTCCCATAACTTCCTTTTCTTGTCTGGGAAGGGGTCCTGTGGGCTGCGTGTTTGCTCATGGTCTGAGCCTGGAGAGTAGTTAAGCTGATATTTTCTGCTCACAGCCGTCAGTGTGAGTCATGGGCTTTTCCCTGTTTTAGAATGAATGCCCCTGAGCTTGTGGTACAGCCCTAATGACACACAAACTTATAGATAAACACATCACATCTCTCTGGGAGAAGTTAGCATGGGAACATTGTGGGATCAGATGCAAACTTTTAATATAAAACAAACATCAAGGAATATTTGTGCTTACAGCAGGCTGTACCAGATTTCTACAAGAGTAAGTCATTTTTATTCTGCAGTGAGGGGATATAAAGCATTAAGAATTGTATATAAATAAATTTTCATTTGTAAATCTTCAACTTGTTCTACCTCAGTGAGTCCTCTGGAATGGTTTCCCATGAAGTTATGACTATAGACTTTTAGCCTTAATAATTATGACCCGCTGGGGACATTGCTTGGATGTTTTTCCAGGGAACTCAGAGAATTTCTTGGTGATATGAACAGGATTTTATCAAAGTGATGTTTTAAGATTCACTTCTTCATAAACTTACAATTATCTACATTTAATTCAATCTGACTTTTTTTTAACAGTTCATTCTAAAGCGATGGCTTACCACCTTGTGAAAAATGAACAGTTGCCTGCCCAGCACCAGATATAAAACCTGTAGAACATGGGGAAATGTAACTTTGCTTTTCTTCAATCGATGAAATCACAGATTTCATTATGTTAGCCTTTGAGAGAACAGAATTTATTCACCCTTGAATTGCAGCCTCATGGAAACTGCATTAAAGACCTCATTGTAGGTCTTTAAAAATTATAGGCTAGGAGTTGGATCTGGTCTATTGTCCTTTTGGATCACCCAGTGTTTGACAAATCAGACAATTCCCCATATTAAATCGTATTTCTGGCATCTCATTTAACTATGGTAGAATTTAGGAACACAAGGCCAAATAGAGATTGTCATTGTCGTGAAGGGCAGCTTCACAATGTCAGTATGCCCCTGCCTTTCCTATCTGTACATTGGATTTCTTATTTTTTATTGGCATATAACTTTGAGTTGGCAAGACTGACTCGATCAACCACCTACCCGTGCAACGAGCATGCTTTAGATATCACATTGTTCTGAAACTCATGACCATAGGACCAAGCCCTAGAGCCTGCCCTCAGTATGCACCCATCTCAAACACAGAGCCCTTGTACTGCAGCGTCTCTCCAGAGCATGATGGGAGCTCTAGGAATAATCAGTGTGGAGCTCAGGGAAATCTCGGGGGCTGGGAGAAACCCTGATGGAAACCACGCAAGCATAGCCCGTTTCAGGGTAGAGAAGGGATAAAACACAAAAACTGGAAAAGGGAGGAGAGCTGATGTCGGAGACTAAGTCGGTCGGCAGGAGCCGGTAGACTGTACCTGTTTCCCCTCGGAGCATCTCATTGATATGATTGTTGCCCATGAGTCAATCCACAGAAAGGAATGCTCTATTCTATTATCATGTCTCAATGCATGAACTTTTTTATTAACTTAATGAATTAGATTTTAAAACCTCTCTAAATTCATTATGTACATCTCCCCTTTGATACATCATGCTCACAATGATCAAGTTTGTTTTGATGACTACAGGATACCTTTATAAATGTCAATTATGATACCCAGCTGCCAACAAAACTTCGACATTTTAAGTGGATTTGGCAGCTATGGGACATTGCCTCTGACAATATGACCTCTTTTTGAGTAGCTCCTCTTTTACATAGCCCGTTAGAGAAATTGATAGCAATGAAAATTACGAAGTCCTAAAGGCTGTCTCTTCTCATTTGTTGTTTCTGGTACAGGACAAAATTTGTGAGAATAGAGAAAAACAGTCTGACTTAGGTTAAGATGACCACTTATAAATTCCATACATGAGCTCCTTGCAAGACTTTCATTTATACAAAATAATAATAATATTTATACAAATATTTCTACAAAAATTTAAAAAATACCACATTCAAGAGGAGTGATTCTTGTTTTTAATCCTTTTATACTACATGTGATCTGGCCAAAATCTAAAGGGAGAAAAGGTTTTAGCCATAAATAGAAAATGAAATGAGCTGGGATATAATATACATATGTATGCATATATATATCAATTTCTTACTCAACATAAGAAGACTATTATTTTCAGAGAGTTCTAAGACTAAATTTAAATACCTTAAAACTTATAATAATAATGTTAAATGGAAAAAATAAAGTATAAGTAAGATTGTCATCATTGTTTAAAACATGTGTAACTGCATAATGTATAAATAGAAAGATATGAAAGTATATATGCACATTATATTATGTACATATATATGTGAATATGTGCTTCCAATGTATACATGCATAGAAATATATTAAGGGATATCCATGAAAACTTATTTGAAAACCAATATTTTAAGTTTATGCAGTTCATATTATTATATCCATGGGATAGGGTCTAGGTCCTGCCCCAAATGATGTGATGGACTTTGATGATCCCCCATGGGAGGCCTCACCCTCCCTGGGAAGTTCATGTAGGGTGGGGTGGGGGAGTGGTAGGGAAATGTGAGGAGAGGAGGGAGAGGGAACTGGGATTGGTATATAGAATAATATTATTTTTAATTTAAATAAAAATTAATTTAAAATTAGATTCTTATTAGCATATCACCTGGGACACACCCCCAGAAGCCAGAGGCCTGTCATGTTACAGAAGAATGGAGTTGGTTGCTTGAAAGAACAAAAAGTATGTGGAGGAAAAGAGTGTCCAAAGATACTAAAACTTCAAAGCTACTTTGATCTCGGTTGTTTCTAGTGCTTGGGTGTCTTCTTCCTCTAATTCTCTATAAAAGAAAGAGAGAGAGAACAAGTAAAAATAAAGACTGCAGCTAAAAAGAGAAATATGCAAAGGATAAGGAGGAACCTACAGGAAGTCACCCAGTTTAACAGGACTTTTGAGAATCTAAATGAGAATTGTGTACTTAGTGTTCAGTTGGGGAAGTTCCGTCCTTCAAGAGAACTATGACCTTACCCTGGATCCCAGAATTTTCCCAGGGTAAATCTCTTTGCAAACCATGCTGTCATCTTTTTCTCTTCTCTCTTTATTTTTTTTCATATATTGCACCATATGAAAATGCCTGTTTCCGTAAAACTTCAAATTTTAGAATACCATTAAAACATAAACAGAAAATGACCTTTACCCTTGTTTCTGACCCCATTGATCTGAGTTTAGAAGGTAATATAAAATTCATCTATTTACCCAAGAGTATGGAGAGAGTATTGCGGCTATGTACCCTGGCATCAGACTACTGGGGTTTGGATCCCAGTTCTGCTGATTTAATACATGCCTTTTGAGGGGTTACTTCCTAAGTTTAGCCTTTCTTTTTCTCATCTATAGCCTGGAGATAAACAATAAGCCTACTTCCTAGGGCTGCTATGGGATATTAAAAAGTTTGCATGTACAAAATGCTTAAACTATTGCCTGGTACACAATGCATCCTTTAGTCATGTTTCATCTTCCAGGTCCTCAAGAGACTAATCAGCATGCTGGCCCTGGTGGTAACCTCAACCACATAACACAACGGAAATGAAGATTAAATAAAGCCAAAAATTCAATTTCTCAGCTTTACTGTCATCTTTCAAGTCCTCCATAGCACAGAAGACTGGCATACTGGGCAGAGCAGATACAGAACTTTTCCATCATTGCAGGGGGCACCATTACATGTTGTGTTAGCAACTGTCAATAACCATAAATGGAGAAGCAAAGGCCAGCAAGACAGGCACGAGAATGGGGCTGTGACGAGAAATCTGCTATTCTCTCCGGAACAGGTGACACATAAATCTCTTGGAGTTTCTGATTCAGGAATCCAGGACAGGAACTGGTTAGTAAGGTTTCCAGTAAGTTCCTAAAGGATGATCAAAGTACACCATTAAGAAGCCCCACCCAAGATGATGGTCTTTACTCCCAGTGTAGACTTTTGCTGGGGAGCGGGGTGAAGTCTGCGAAAGAGGTACAATACCCACATTTTTCAAACTAAAATTTCTTTCCTGATGTTCTTTTCATCAACTTGTCACACTGGCTCTCCCTCACCATCTCACTGCGGGCACTTCTATGAAACTTGCTGTCCTCCCTATCCAATGTCGTCTAATGCACAAAGGTCTCTCACGCAGCAAATGTCTCAGCTCAAACTGAGATGCCTTTAACCAGGGCAGCAGAAGTCTCTCACCCACCTTTTCAAAAGACACATTTCCAACAATCATTAAACAGTGAATAAGCTAGTATTGATCAAATATATGCGGTTTTGATCAAAGCAGTCTTAACAGTTAGATACTCCCTGCCCAAGATCAGCATTAGGTCTGTAATTGGAATCTCTAACACGTTTCTTAATTTCCACACGCATCAGGGCTTCATCTCAAAATGCAGGTGGTGATAAATCCCTTTGAGAGGTGCTGGAGCATTGAATAAGTTCATGTATGTAAAGTGCTTAGAACTGTACCAGGCACATAAGATATGCAGAATGCCAGCTATAGTTATTTCTGTTACCGTTGTTAATTATAGTAAATCATGTCAAAACAATTGGTTAGGAGCGCTTGTTGCTCTTGCAGAGGACCTGAGTGCAATTTCCAGCACCCACATGTGGTTCACAACAATCTATAAGTCCAGTTCCAAGGGATCCGACACCCTCTTCTGACCTCCACAGGTACCAGGAATGCATGAGGTACACATACATACATGCAAGTAAAACACTGTGCATAAAATAAAACAAATAAATCTAAGTTTAAATTTTAAATTTTAAGTGTGTCATTTTTGTGAAGCCTTAAAGAAAAACATGTGAGATAATAAACTGTGTGCAAAAAGCAGTAAGACTAGCTAAATTTTTTACTATTCTGAATTTCTCTTCCTCCCCACACTTGGAAATCACATGCCCACTTCCCACAAGCTTCCAACTGAGTTTCCTGTGAGGTTCAAAGAAGTTCATGTAAATAACGCAAAGAGCCAACAATATTCTAAGGTCAGCTAGAAATACAAAGTGCAAGCTCCTTAAATTTAGTACAGACTCTAAAAGAAGGTATTCCCCTGTGATCTTAACATTCCTCCTTATACCTCTAACACACGGGTCATCACATTGCATTAGTTCCAAGATATATATATTTCTTCTAATTTTTCTCTTTAAATACATTTTAATTAAAATAAAATTACATTATTTTCCCCCTTTCCTCCATCCTATCCTTTCTGGGTACCCTCCCTCCCACCCGTCCTATGTACCACAGCTCTCAAGCTGATAGCCTCCTTCATCTTGATTATCGGTTACATGCACACGTACACACATAAATGCACAAATATACTCAACCATCCTGCTGAGGCTGTGTTGCTATATACAGGTTCAAAGCTGGCCACTGCCCTGAAGAATCATTAAAAGGGCCCAATGAGTGGATGGTGGTATTGAGGTACATACACACAATGGAATATTATACTGCTGCAAAAAACAAGTGACATAATGAAATTTGCAGGTGAATGGATGGACCTAGTAAAGATCATATTAAGCAAGTAACCCAGACACGGGTAAATGCCACATGTTCTCTCTCATCTGTAGTCCCTACTTCCAGATCTTTAGATATGCACATGCAACATGGAGAGACCAGGAAAGTATAAAGCAACCACAGGGCAGGGCGAGGGCAGGGTGGGAATCTTGGGGGGAAAATAGCAAGATACAGATGATATGAAATGGAAAATGGAAGAGTGCAGAGAGGCTCCTGGACAGGAGAGAAGTCAGCAGGAGAAGGCAGGAAATGGAGCAAATAATATCAATATTTGATAAGGTTTCAAGGAATCATAGCATTTTGGGTTTAGTAGAAATTATACATAATACGTATAAACATGTATTTATCTACATGCACTTATGGCAATGGTCCCCAATTGAACCACAGACTAACAAAAACCCCAGCAACAGGCATGAGAAATCTCCTTTCAAATGGCTGGTCAGGGGACTCGGAATAGTACAGACTATTGACATAGCCCTTGGTTTGTTCCCAGAGGCTGAGGTAAGCCCCTATTGCTGAAGACCACACACTTAGGTCACAGGGCTTGCATGATTTGAACAAACTCTAACCTGAAAGCCTCCTTCCTGCAGCCCAGCTTCCACAGTACTAAAAACACTTTGCAAGCTGCTAAAGGAGGGGGCCAGTTCCATTCAGCTGCAACACCTGTAATCACAGTGACCAGTATGGCAGGACATGCATAAAGCTGCCAAAAGTAGCTCTCACATATCCCGGTCTTCAGACCCACTCAACAGGAGGGAAGTTATGCCTGGAACTGGAAAGCTAGTCAGCTTCCTGGAGTAAGTGCAGTGATGGGCCTTAGGGAGGATCACTATTTTGCTAGATAGGCATAATTCCTTACTACGTTCGAATCCTTTTCTTCACACCCACAGGCAAGTGTAGCTCTCACCCCTCATCAAAGAAGTCTCTCTTTATGGCAAGTGGAGACCATTACAAAAAAGCCACAGCTGGACATAATCGAAGACCAACAGATCGCAAGGTCCAGACTGCTGCTTACTGAACTCGGTCCTGAACTCGGTCCAACCCCAATGGATGCATCTGTGTCACGGCCCCTGCATCTGTGGTCCAGGGACCATCATGGAAGAGCAGGCAAAGGGATTATGAGAGCCATACTACCAAGAAGTTTGCTGTGAAACTGCCTCTCCTAGAAATGGCTACATAAACAAGACCCAAACGGTGGCAATATCATTGGACACACAAATGTGGAGGGGATGTTCCTTGGAGTCTACAGATAGCAGATGCCTGCTGAGAGAGCTGGCTTCTCCCAGGCACGAGCTCCTTGTTTCTCCTAGTTTAGCACCCCTAGAGCTGCATATTGTAAGCCTTCTTGCTATGGCTCTGTCGGCTGTCAGTCGTTGCCATGGCATATTTTTAATCACTAGTGCATGCACGGGCATTAAAGGCAATAGCCTCCAGAGGTTCAGCGTGGGTGACAGTAGTTCAGAAATAAATCCTAGACACAGTGTGAAGCATTCTTTTTCAGACATAAATAATAAATAAGTGTGTGCATGTGTGTGTGTGTGTGTGTGTGTGTGTGTGTGTGTGTGTGTGTGTCAGGGACTGTAGAGAGTCCGTAAGGAACATCAGTAAATCCGGTTCCTTAAGCAGCACTCTGGAAACACATAATTATGAAGTCAGTTTAATTGCGTAGCACCAATCAATTGCATTATTTGAATTCTTTATAAAAAAAAACCTATTCTAGGGCTGGGGAGATGGCTCAGTGTTTAAGAGTACTTGCTGCTCTTATAGAGGACTGCAGTTTGGTTCCCAGTGGCCACATCAAGCAGCTCCCAACAGCCTGCAACTCCAGCTGCAGGGGGTATCCTACACCTTGTCACTGTCTCCATTGGCGTGTGTGTGTGTGTGTGTGTGTATGTGTGTACATGCACATATACACACAAAATAATAATAAGTACATCTTAAAATGGTTTTACACCCATGTTCTGTTCTCATTTAGAGCAGCACTGTATGGAAAACAACGGCATTGAAGATTCTTTTTTTAAATTAGAAACAATCACATTTTACATATCAATCCCAGTTCCCTCTCCCTCCCATCCTCCCATGCCCCCCACCAACCCTCATCCCATCCCTCTTCTGCTCCATAGAAAGGGTGAGGCCCTCCATGGGGGATCATCAAAGTCTGTCACATCATTTGAGGCAGGGCCTAGGCCCTCCCCCATGTGTCTAGGCTGAGAAAGTTTTCCTATATGGGGAGTGGGCTCCCAGAATCCATTTGTACACCAGGGAAGATTCTTAATTGAAATGGGACTCAAGAGAGTCACCTTTTGGATGTAAAGTGTTGATGATCCTGTAACAAATTATTTTATGTGTATACTCTTTTCATGTGTTCCTAAATTATAAATAGGACATATTCATATAAATTTAGGTATAAAAGCCATTTTGGCAGATATGAAATAAAAATCTAATATACTGTTTTTTTAAATATATGAAATAGAAGGGAAGGCTACAAATTGCAGCTGTTGAGAGTTAGTGAGATGTGGTAGTCCTGGCTTTCAAAGACAGTTGACGGGGAATGTTCTTCTGTGTATATGTTTGTCTTACTGGTTGATGAATAAAACACTGATTGGCCAGGCAGGAAGATAGATAGGACTAGGAGACAAGGAGGATTCTGGGAAGTGTAGGCAGAGAGGAGTCATCATGTGATCCCAGGAAGTGACTTAGCTGGGCAGAAACTGACATTAGCTAACCACTGAGGTCTGGAGGTCTGTACAGATGGGTAGGAAGTGACGTAGCTAGGCAGAATCGGGATATAAGCAGGAACAGACAGAAAATCGCTCTCTTCTCTGGAGAGACACTGAGCAGTCATCATGTAGCAGGCAAAGGAGTTGCAACTCCAGCATTTCCCCGTAAGCCAAGAACACGTGGAAATACATGGATTAATAGACATGGCTTAGTGTCTGTGTGCTTCTTTGGGGCAGAGAAAGGTAGTGGGACCTGCCGGGACAGAAAACCTATGTAACAGACACTGCCTGATGATTCTAAAGAATTTAAACAACAATTGAGATAAATTAAAGACTTTTTCATCTTGGAGTAGTGACCAGCCCGAATGCAACAGATCCTGGAGAAGGTATTCCCTCAGCACTATATAAGCACAAGAGTTCTCACACAGCCCAGAGACAAAGCAAATTTCTGTTTTAAGAATGCTAACATTGCCTTTAATCCCAGCACTCAGGATGCAGAGGCAGGCAGATCTCTGTGAGTTTGAGGCCAGTAGGTTCCCATTCTGCCAGCTGAAAGCTGTGTAATGTTGGGCACGTCCATCAACCTCTTATCTGTGTATTTTTTCCTTATCAGTAAAATAAGAATTTTGAATGCTCACACCTCA